TTCTGCTTCTGCCTTGTTTGACATTTGTCATTCTTTCAGCCGCACCCTCACGGCAGTGCACGATGCCATCCTTGAGGACTTGGTCTTCCCAAGTGAGATTGTGGGCAAGAGGATCCGTGTGAAACTGGATGGCAGCCGGCTCATAAAGGTCCACTTAGACAAAGCACAGCAGAACAACGTGGAGCACAAGGTGAGGAAGGTCCAGCCCCTGGGAGCACGGCCAACTCTTCTCACTCTGTCCCTTCTGATTCTGTGTTGGGTTCAGTATTGGATGCTTTAGAAACTGGAGTGCTTTGGGTGCTTTTAGCTGACTAGGATGTGGAAGCAGTCGCCAGGTCTGTGGCCTTCAGTTTCAGGGAGGACAGATTGTATGGCAGCTCAGAAGGGTGGTGGTATATTAGGATGGGGAGCTGTCTGGATACCTGCTGCCCAGTGGGTCCCCAACTAGGTAGCTTGGTTTGGATTGTGTGAAGGCTTGTGCCCAGGCCAAGAGTTGCAGGGTCATGGTGTACATAGTCCTTCTCAAGAGGAAAACTACGGTGCACTAGCCTTGGGTGCTGTTGCAGATTTAAAGTTAATGATGACTTCTGTCTTCTTTTTCAGGTGGAAACCTTTTCTGGTGTTTATAAGAAGCTCACGGGCAAGGATGTTAATTTTGAATTCCCAGAGTTTCAGTTGTAAAGTAAATGACTGAATAAAGTTTCATTCATAGTATTTGGTTGTGTGTGGAATTTCAAGTCTAAATAAAGAGGTGTGTATGAGGGTGTGCAGAGGATGCATGCTCTATTCCCCACACGTAACAGATTGGGATCTAGATTCCTAGCCTCTGGGGCCACCAGTCATACACGGTGAGGACAAGCATTGAAAAATCCATAGTAAAGACATAACTAAAGGCCGGTGAAGCAGTTTCAGCTACTCGTTTCTTAACTACCCAGTGAGGACCTCAGATGATACTTGACAGTATACATGATGCTTTGCTTGGAAAGTATGAAGTGCAGTGATCACCATTACCTCGATCAATAAACTTGAAGTCAGGGAACTAGGAGGGAAGGGTTCGAGGCCTCACCCCTCCTTGGGCTTCTGGCAATTAGCAGTTAGTTGGTTATGGGGAGGTTGCTAGGTACAGAGAGGCATTGTCTTCAATTCTGGGGTAAGTTATCCATGCTCCAAAGAACAGTCCCACCCATTGCTCATGCAGGCAACCAAAATTAAACTGTGTTTAGAAACATCAGAGAGATGGTGTCCTGTCTAGTTTCATGTCCTCTGAAAGGAGGAAATAGGAAAATGCCTCCATAAGATGCAGCTGTAGGGGCTGGAGAGATGGCTCAGAGGTTAACAGCACAGCATGTTCTTCCAGAGGTCCTGAGTTCAATTCCCAGCAACCACATGGTGGCTCACAGCCATCTATAATGAGGTCTGATGCCTTCTCCTGGGGTACATGCATGTACACAGATAAAAACTATGCATAATAAATAATTTTAAAAAGATTCAGCTGTAAGGCATTTTCTTAGTGATTGAGGGAAGGGCCCAGCCTCTTGTAGGTGGTGCTATCCCTAGGCAGGTGGTCCTAGGTGCTATAGGAAAACAGACTGAGCAAGCCAGTAAGCACTCTATGGCCCTGCCCTGGATGAGTTCCTGTCATGACTTCCTTCCTTCAGTGGTGAACTTGATGTGGTAGTGTTATCTAAATAAACCCTTTCCTTGTTTTCGGTCATGTTCATCACAGAAATAGTAACCCAAACTCTGGCACTGACTTCTTGTAGAAGGTGGGGGTTCACTTCCCAGCACCCAGGATCACAGCTGTCTAACTCCTGTTCAAGGGACCCAGACACCCTTTCTATCCTCAAGCACTGTACATGCACACATCGTGCACAGACAGACATGCAGACAAAATACCTGTAACAATGTTTTTCAAAGTCTTTAAAAAGCTGTGGGACATTTGTTGGGAAGTAGGGAGTCTGCAGGAGTGAAAAGAGCCATTCATGGTGAATGACTGAAATATGTATGACTATTGTACAGAGTACCCTCAGCATGACTGCCACTGTTGTCAGCTGTGACTACAAAGAGATCTGTAGGATTAGGCCTGTTTACGTTCCTTCACAGAACAGGGGAGTCGAGGGCTCTGGGGCCTCACCTGGTCTCAGTCACTCAGCTAGGATCCCCTAGCCAGTTGTATGTAATTCTGCCCTAACTGCACACAGCATCATGGTGTGGTTATTGGACAGGGCCTTCATCTACACCCATATGAGAAGCTGTCATCCATGTTGGTGTGACATCGGACACTATGATGGCTTTGTTACCCAGACTACTTGATGCGCTAATGTCAGTAAGCATAATAAACTCATGGGCTTGTAGCCTGGCGAGAAAGGGGTAGATGTTTGCTGAGAGTTCCTAAAACAATAGAATTGTCAAAGAAGTTAAAAATCTTTTTAAAAATTGGGGCGGGTGGTGCACACCCTTAATCCCTGCACTCAGGAGGCAGAGGCAGATATATCTCTGAGTTCAAGGTCAGCCTGGTCTGCAGAGTAAGTTTCAGAACAGAAAAAACCCATCTTAAAAAACCAAAATAAAGTCTACCAACTACTCGGTATGCTTTTGGAAGTAGCTTCAGTTACTGATTTTCTAACTGCCTTGGGAAGGCCAGCTTTGTTTACCTCACTTGATGTCCAAACTCAGATGGGTTGAGTCAGGCAGTGGTGGCACATGCCTTTAGTTACAGCACTCAGGAGGCAGAGGCAGTTTGAGACCAGCCTGGTCTACAAGAGAGAGGTAGTGTTCCAGGACAGCCTCCAAAGCGACAGAGAAACCCTGTCTCGGAAAACAAAAACAACAACAAAAAAAAGATCTTGAAGAGACTGAAATGCCCAGTGGTGGTGGTGATAGCTGTGGAGGTGCACACCCTTAATCCCTGCACTCAGGAGGCAGAGGCAGGTGGAGTTCTGAGTTCAAGGCCAGCCTAGACTACTGAGTGAGTTCCAGGACAGGCTCCAAATCTACAGAGAAACCCTTTCTTAGAGAGGACTCACAACACCCATGGTGGGGGGACTCAGAACACCCATGGAGAATCTGTGCCTGACAGCGTTCACTTTACAATTGTCCTCCATGCTCATTTTAGTCTGAGTTTCTGGCTGTGTGAGGAAGCTACACAATGATTTTTTCTGTCATGGCTGTGATCACTCTGGCGTGTTTATATACTCCCAGTGGTCACTGGTTGAGTGGTACTAGGACAGTCGCTATCCCAATGGGTCCTCTCTTCCATCCCATCAGTCTGTTGAGTCTTCCCTAGGACCGCACATCTTGAGTAGTAGGCTAGCAAGGCTGACCCTTGGGGGTTGAGGTGTAAGGCCGGTCAAGGCTGATATGGGGCTGCTGACACAGTGGTGTAGACTCTCAGTGATGTCCTGACATCCCCTGTGAGGCCGGCAGTGGGTCCCTAAGTGTCTCTGGCCCAGCCACATCAACCTTGAGAATGCATTGTGAGATCCCTACACTCAAGCTATCAATTCAGAAACCCTAGTGCCTAGAGCTGGAGAGGTGGCTCAGTGGGTAATAGCTTATTCTGCAGAGACCTGAGCGTGGTTCCAGCCCCCACGGCTCACAATGTCCTGTATCTCCAGTTCCTGGGTATCTGATACCCTCTTTATGGCTTCTGTAGGCATCACCAGGGCAAGCTCCATGGGAGAACCCCTAACCGCTTTCCCAAGCCACTGTCGTGTAAATGGTGCAATCCAGAATCTTAACACTGGGTAAATATGTTAATGGTTAAGTACTCAAGACCTTTTAACAAATTGGCAAGAAGAGAGATTCCCAGTAGCCACACCCTGGTCTCTGCTCCGTGTCCCAGTGACTGGGCTTAGGATAGTGTAGTGAACCAAGTGCTGTGCACTCTCTGGAAACTCAGGCAGTCTCAGTGAGTGTTGGGGACCTTTGGGGAGGTGACCATGGTGAATGTCCTTATGGACAAAGTGTCCCACAGATACAGCAGCACTTCCGGTGTGACCCCCACTGAAGTTTCCCATCCAGAGCACAGTGGGTTTCACGTAACTCTTGTATCCAAACTCCATGATTATCTCAGAGACACGTAAACACTCGCTGGATGTGAGCCAGTCTTGTTCTGGCCGGGAATGGGATTGTCTGTGGGGTCAGGGCTCTCAGGCCAATGGCTCTAACCCTGGGCCTGTGCTGTCAGGGCAGAGAATAGGACGCAGTGGTCTGCTTCTAGGGGAGGAGTAGCCAGTGTTCCTGATGACTTGACACTAGTTTGTCACTCCAGGGTCAGCTCATAATACAAAAGTTCTAACTCACCATCTACTCAACACAGACAAGTTAAATTAACACTGTTTTTTAACAGGGAGTATTTTGTTGGGCTGGGGAAATAGATCAAGTGATAGATAGTGTCTGCCTGGTGTGCACAGGGCCCTGAGTTCAAGCCCTTGTACCAGCGCAAGGCTAGAGATTTGGAAGTGGTAGGCGGCTCATGTTTTTCCAGCTCTTGGAGGCCACACAGAACTCTTGGCCGCCTCTCCAAGCTGCTGTGTGGTAGCATCTCGTGTTAGTGTGTGTCTGAAAGCAGGTGCATGTGTGCCTCCCTCATTACACTCCATCTTGTCTTCTTTGTTGATTTGACTGGAGACAGTCTCGCCAGGTACTCCTGGCTGGCCTGAAACTTGCTACATAGTGCAAGCCTGCCTCTGACTCAACAACAACCCATGCTTCTCCAGAGCGCAGATTGCTGGTGTGCACCACCATGTTCAGCATATGTACTTACTTGAAGCAAAGGAAAAGAAAGGTAAACAGGAAAGAAAACCAAAAACTAGTCAGAATGCTTGGGGTGGGGGTTGGCTGGGATCTCCAGGCACCCCAGCCTTGCAGCCGGGGCCGTGTTCCCACACTCCTCGGGTCCTGCAGGACAGCTGATGGTTTCAGGCAGGAAGCTCTTACAGATAAGGCTGCAGCCCCCAGCAGATTCGCTGGGCTGTCTGACAGCCCAGGCACGGGTTCCTTCTGAGTTGATCTGCAGCTGGGTTCTAAATAAGCAGCCATGAGGCTTCTTGGAGCAGTATCTCTACCAGCTGGGGACCGTCAGGACCGCACCTTCGCCTAGGGTGCATCCAGGTAGGAGACGCCGCCCCAGGACACTAGGCCAGGACTGGACAGGTGATGAGGCAGGGACAGGAGGGCAAATTTCCAAACAGGGCTGGAGGGTAGACTCAGGCTGTGGAATTTGGCAAGGTGGAACTCGGTCTCAGATCCAAGCATCCTGGAGTTGGTCCATAAGTCAGACACTAGAGTTCCAGAGTTTGTTTAGCTCAGTAGTTAATGGAGGAATCTTTGAGAAGCCAGCAGAGGCAGATGGTGATCAGTCAGTCGATAGACGACAGAACCACTTAGGTTACTTAGTGCCCAGAGGTTGGAGTGATCACTTGTTTTGGTTTGGTTTGGTTTTTTTGTTGTTGTTTGTTTGTTTTTTTCAAGACAGGGTTTCTCTGTGTAGCTTTGGAGCCTATCCTGACACTGACTCTGTAGAGCAGGCTGGCCTCAAATTCACGGAGATCCGCCTGTCTCTCCCTCCCGAACACTGGGATTAAAGGCGTGCGCCACCAAGGACTGGCTGGAGTGGTCACTTCTAACTCCAGTGGGGGAGCAACATATTCCAGACGACTGCTGAGCAGCGTTTATGGGGTGACAGCTGAGCAAGCACTGTTCAGAGACTGACAGCTCAAAGGCACACTCAGCAGTGGCTCTCAGGTGGAGGGAGTAGATCTCAGCGAGGAAGGCACATTCCTCTAAGGGGAACCATCTAACGGTGGGCATTCAGTCTGCCAACACTGGGAAGGCCGCAGCTCGCAATGGCAGTTGCTTGTGCTCTGACACCAGACTTTGGGACTGACTGGCTGTTGTGTCTGAGTGGCCCCAGGTGGCAGCTTCAAATAGAAATGGTGCCATTTGTAGGCCATTGTGTGGCATAATGGGGCTCCAAACCTCCGCATTTAGTTCCATCTCCAATTTTGAGACATCTGTGCCAGAGATGAAAGAGATCAGCAGATTCCTCCTCATCATAGTGTTGGTAAGACGCTCTCTGTAGCCTCATGGTGGGGGTGGAAGTGTCCCTTTAGGTCAGAGGAGGCTTCCAAGGGATGATGCTGTTCCCAGCAGACAGTTCAGAGTCTGTGGGATCCAGGGCTCCATTGTAGGTGTTTAATGGACATGTCACTTTGTGTGTTTGGCAGTACAGTCCACATGTTCCCCCCTGACCCCCTCCCTGTCCGTTCTTACGTGTTTCTCTTGTGAATTCCACATTTAATCTCTCCCCCAGGAAGCTGTCTCTTTGATGGAAGCTGGGTGGGGGGGCTTAAGTCTTTGGGCTCTGGTTGAGAGATAAGGATGTTGTTTTTAAAAAGAAGATTTCAGGGTTGCTGCATAGTCTCCGTTTATAAAACCAAATTCCTTTCCTGAGAGGGGGCCGACCAGGACACAGACAAACTTCCTGGTGGGCATGGCACCCATCCCCGTGTGCCCCCCTGCCCTGTTCTGAAGCAGGCCTGGGACAGGAACAAACTGGAGGACAGAGCAGGGCCCTGTCATGTAAGGACACATAGGCAGGAGAGTCAGTGAGAGAGTAGTTGAGGAGCCTGGTCCAGAGCCCGCTGTGGCCTGACCTTTTGTAAGGGAAAAGAAGTGTGACTGTCCTCCTGCTGTCTCTGAAAGAGCATTTTTGTTGCTTTCTTGTTGTTGTTGTTTTCCCGAGACAGGGTTTCTCTATAGTCCTGGCTGTCCTGGAACTCACTCTGTAGACCAGGCTGGCCTCCAAATCACAGAGATCCACCTGTGTCTGCCTCCCCAGTGCTGGGATTAAAGGTGAGAGCCACCACTTCCTGGCATTCACTTCCATTCTTTCTTTTTTTTTTTTTTTTGGTTTTTCGAGACAGGGTTTCTCTGTGGCTTTGGAGGCTGTCCTGGAACTAGCTCTTGTAGACCAGGCTGGCCTCGAACTCACAGAGATCCGCCTGCCTCTGCCTCCCGAGTGCTGGGATTAAAGGCATGCGCCACCAACGCCCGGCTTCACTTCCATTCTTATTCCAATAAATATGGTCTCCAGAGAAGAGCCAAGCAGTCCCTTTATAAAGCCAAGCCCTGATGAAAAAGCTCCATCTTGTTTCGAGGGAGCCCCCAAAAGGTGTCACAGTAACACTAGAATTCACTCTGTTCAGGGATTTTTCTCTCGTGTTCACCAGGCCAGGCAACTTCTCCCCAAGCTCCATTCAAGAGGCTGTACCCCTTCCTTGAAGCTTCACCTGGGAGGCCATCCCTGACCCTTGTCTCTAGAGGGCAGTGTCTGCATGCCCAGGTCATCTTGCCCCTCCTCTCCTCCCTGGGGAAGATCACTCTTCTCTGGGGTTTCTGTTTTTGTTTTATCCTTTTGTCTCTTTTTTAAAAAGGTTTATTTATTTTTGTATGTATGCATGCACTAGGTATGTACAGTGCCCACAGAAGATGGAAGAGGACATTGGGGCCACTGGAACTGGGGTTATGGGTGGTTGTGCACCCCCATAGGGGTTCTGAGAACTAAACGCGGATCCTGTGTAAGTGCAGCAGATGCTCTTAACCACTGAACCATCCCTGGCTGTCTCCTTTGACTGGAAAGGAACTTTAGTTCTTTCTCCACCCCAGCACCTGGAACTGTGCCTGGCAGACAGTTGGCACCTGGAAATATTGCTGAGTGGTTGACTGACCCGGGGGATAGGTGCCAGGAAGCATCAGAGGTCTTCTGGGATGAATAATTGTGTGGTTATTGCTGTAATTGCTACTGTGCGGTTCCGATACTCCAAGGGGCCCGCCCTCCCAGCTTCCTGGCCCAGCTTTTCCTTCTTGCTTTTTTTGGTGTGTGTGTGGGGGGGGGGAGCGAGTTCAAGACAGTGTTTCTCTGTGTAGCTTTGTTGACCAGACTGGCCTCGAACTCACAGAGATTCACCTGCCTCTGCCTCCGGAGTGCTGGGATTAAAGGCGGGCAACAGCTCCTTCTTGCTTTTTAAGTATCTTTCTCTCTTTCTTCTTGCCATTACTGTTGGCCTTTTTATTTATTCTCTTCCTTCTCTGTTTTCAAGCCATCCAATGTGGATCTCTGCACAGGGCTAACCCCTCTCAGACATGCTCCAGGCTCTGCAGGAAGGCCATATCTTGCATCAGGGCCTATGTCTTCTGTGAGACCGAGTTTCTGCCGTTAGCATGAGACGAGTCTCCTGGGCAGGCCTCATGCTCAGTGACTTGCTCTGAGGAGGGCTGGACTGTGCAAGTGACCTCCAGGAAAGGCTTAGGGGAGAGAGTTCTGGGCACACGCGGCGCCCTAGATGCCTGGAAACTTCAGAGACTCTCAGTGGAGGCTGGTAATTGGTATGTAAGCGAGCCACCGAGAGAGGGGAGTGCATGAGTGTGGCCTGCTGTCTGCAAAGTGCTGCCGTCTGTGTCAGATCCTGTCACTGTTTATGCCTTCCTCCTTCCAGGAGTCAGTGTCCTGCCTGCACTCATGATGACAAGGGACCTGGCTTTGGCAGGCATGCTGATTAGCCTGGCTTTCCTGTCACTGCTGCCATCTGGATGTCCTCAGCAGACCACAGAGGACGCCTGCTCTGTGCAGATTCTTGTCCCCGGCCTCAAAGGTAATGGCTCTGCTGCTGCTCTGGTGCTACCCTGGTCATGCCTCCGGGTAGCTCAGTCTCCTGCATGGCCTGGTACTTCAGCACAAATTCACAAAGAATGAGTGACTCTGGTCCAGGTGCATCCTGGGAAATCTGCCCATCTCTTTGGGCTTGGGATTCCCTGACTAGGAGACCAAGGTTCCATGGTATTTCTCATTAGTGATATATATGCAACACAGCCTTCTCCTCGGGAGCCTTTTGTGAGGGTCTGGCTCATTTGATCTTGTCCATCATGAACATGAGCCATGAGCCAGAGGGCTGAGGTCAGCCAGCCTCTTTCTTGCTGTGAGATGCTACAGTATTTACACCCCATGGCCTGTAGGGATGAAGTCTGCTTGCAGACACATTTGCAAATAGAGCAACAGTTCAGGGGTGTTGGCTTTTCTTCAACCGACAATGAGGGTATCAAAGTAGTTCTTGTTCTGCATTTAAATGAGGACACACTGTAAGGATTCAGGCATTATGCTGGCCTGCCCCTGTCACTGGGCAGAATGCACTCAGACGGTACCCTAGTCAGCCCAGGGGTCCATGATTGCATGGTCTGCACGGAAGTGCAAAGGGCCCCTTTAAAAGAAAGACCCTGGCCGGGCATTGGTGGCGCACGCCTTTAATCCCAGCACTCAGGAGGCAGAGGCAGGCGGATCTCTGTGAGTTCGAGGCCAGCCTGGTCTATAGAGCAAGTTCCAGGACAGCCTCCAAAGCCACAGAGAAACCCTGTCTCGAAAAACCAAAAAAAAAAAAAAAAAAAAAAAAAAAAAGAAAGACCCTGCCCACTGACGCTCTTTCTGCTTTCTTTCCTGTCTCCCTCTTCTCTTCTGTCTTCTCTCTGTCTCTGTGTCTCTACCTCTTTTCTCTCCCAACCCCACCCCTTCCCTTTCTAATAAAACTTCTCACTTAAGTTCTGTCTGCCTGGCCTGTTTGTCCCCCACCTTGGTCACCCTCGCCTGTCTTGGAATCCGCCAAGATTCCTCATGCTTTATCATAACGCACACACCTTCATAGTTGGGTCAGACATTATCAAAGCGTGACCCGGATGAAAGCTCTGCGTTCGCAGATGTAGATCTGACTTGAGAGGGCACGAGTGGTAAATTATTTCTACGAGGGAAGAGAAAGCAGTGCTATTGACGGTGGAAATGAGATGGCAGCTGAAATGTCAACCTGACCTGATAAGATAGACGGCTTGTCAGAACTCTATGGGGAACAGGGAAGAGGCCTGGGAGCTGGGCTCTCTGGGGCCTGCTTATCAACACGGATAAGGAGTCCCTCCCACCCCAATGAGCTTTGAGCAATGCTGGGAATGTCTTTGCTTGATGGCCACTCAGGGTTGCACTCCAAGGCCTCCAGGAACAGCTAGACTCAGAGTCAAGTTTTTGGGAAAGGTCTCGATGGAATTGGGACGGGCCCTTTAGAGGCAGAGGTCAAAAAACATGCTTTTAAGATAAAGGGTCTCACGATGAAATCCTGGCTAGCTGGGGACTCCCCATGTAAAGTAGCCTTGGGTTAAACTCACAGGACTCTGCCTGCCTCTGCCTCCTGAGTGCTGAGATCAAAGGCTTACACTATCACCATCTAGCAAAAACAAGTTCTTATGACAAAGTAGTCTCAGGATATAACGTAATCATGGACAGCGTTGAGGAACTGCATTAAGGTGGTGGTGGGGGAACTTCAGAGCCTGGGCATCAAGGTTGTTTTTTGGGGAGATCAGCAGTGGGAAGGAAGCTCAGGAGGTCTTGTCCCCTTCTTCCCACTATGGATGGAATGGGAAGACTATTCGTGAGAACGACATTTAAATGAAGAGGTTTTTCTGATTGGTTAAGAGATATAAAAATTCTTCATTTGGGTCCCGCGTGCGCGCGCGTGCGTGTGTGTGTGTGTGTGTGTGTGTGTGTGTGTGTGTGTACAAATCTGTGTTCTTGCATGTGGAGGTCAACCTTTGGCATTGTTCCAGGAGATAGCAACCTTGGGTTTTGAGATAAGGTCTCTCACTGGCCTGATGCTTACCAGTTAGTCTAGTCTGGCTACCCAGAGAGCCCCAGGGATCCTCCTGACTCTCCCTCCCCAGCACTGGGATTACACGTGTGTGTGATACTATGCTTGGCTTTCTATATGGAGTTTGGGGATCACTCCAGTCCTGTGTTTGCTGTGGCAAACACATCACTCACAGCCATTCCCCAAGCACCATGTTTTAAAACGTTTTCATTGGTGCGTTATGTCTCATTCCTGCTGTATAGTTTGTTAAGTGCTGTTGCGGGTTGGGATCAATCTGAACAGTTTTTCAATAAAACGAGAGACAGGCACAAGACGCAAGGGGAGGTCAGGTGGAAGTTGTGTGATGGGCCTAGTGTCCTTCTTGCCTTCTTTTGTAGATGGGAGGGGCCATCAGGAAAGTGACAATGCAATGGATGATGGTCTGGTTCACTCAGTTTTACTCTAATCCAGGTTCTGATGCCCAAAGACGCTGTGGTCAGGCCCAGAGCCTGCCCTTGGGTCATCACTCAGCTGTCGTAGGCCATGTGCACACCCACGTGCCTCAAATGAGTGAGGGCCTTGTGTACGCTCTAGGAGCTTCTTAGAAAGCTTCTAGAAAATCTGGAAAGTGTGGTTACAGTCCCCTCTCAGTGAGTACTGACAAGGCACCTGCTGTGGTGGAGGCCTTCCTCCAGGTGCTCTGGGAGGGAAGAGTCATGGTAGCTGCTTCCGGTGACACACACAGTGATGCACACACTAAGAAGGAAACACTTCCCCACCCCTGCCCCTCTTTGGTGGGCATCTGCAGTTGGCAGGTTTTGCTGTGGCTCCTCTGTGGGTGATCACGTTGTCCCCCGTGGTTCGGCCTAGCCCTGGCAGGCTCCTCTGGAGAGCCTCTGATTCATTCCCTTCTGCATGCGTGCCTTTCCTCAGAGCACTGCTCGGCTCTGCCTGGTTGCATCCTCCTCTCCACGCAGCTTCGGCTTAGAAAGCCACTTCAGTGGGGGAGACGTCTGATCTGATGCTTGCAATGCCGCTTTTGCTGAAGTCAGTGCCTCGTTCTGCCCCATACCCTGTGTGGCTAATGAGAATTCTCATGTCAATCTGACTTAAAATATTTTTCCTCCTGGATGGCTCACAGAGCGTCCTCTTTGTTGTTGACGTTCATTTGGCAGTGTCGCTGACATGTCTTCGCTGTTTGGCCCTGATTTTTCCCGTGTGGTCCTCTCTGCAGGCTTTTATTGTGTTCTTGCTTTCATGCACCCACCCCCTACCCCCGGCACTGGAAAGTGTATCTGGCAGCTCTTTACAGACTCTAGGGCGTAACACATCACTCTCTTCCTCTCGTCGTCTCTCTGGAATTCTTGTGAGATGGGTTTGGGCATTTATGAGTTGGTTTTTTTTCCCCCCCCTCTCTCTCTTCCATCTCAACTTGATAACTTCAAAACAAAACCATCAAGGCTTCACAGCTGAGTGTTCCTTAGTGAACAGAAATCCTGGCCCTAATGTTTTGTCTCATGGGAAGTGAGTGAGCTTTCTTCCGGCCACTGCTTTCTAGCTGTGAGGGTGAATCTCAAGCAGAAGGTCCCCAGTGGGCTTGCTGTCACACTCACTGCCACACACCATCATGTCTCCTGTCTGTCTGTCTCTCCACCCCCTTCCACTACCCCCCTTTTTTACAGGATTTCACTATGTCGCTCTGGATAGCCTGGAATTCACTATGTAGACCAGGGTGAATAGACCAAAAGGCAGAGACGCGTGGATCTCTGTGAGTTTGGTGTAGAACTAACTCAGTGTAGCCTTTGGTGGCTTCCTGTCTTTTAGAAAGAGAAAAGCAGAATCAGATTTGTGTTATAGGAAGGTCATTTGATCAGGATTGGGTTGGGCTTGAGGCTGGAGAATAGGTCCCCTGTGACTCTCAACATACCTGTGTACTCATCAGATACCCTAACTGCTTATTTACACCTGTTCCCTGAAAATAAGGCAGTGCAGGGAACGGGCATCCTGAGCTTAGACCCAGGCACCTAGAACTCCCAGGTGATGCTGGCTGCAGTTTGGGGTAGCGTGGGCAGGGAGTAGGGCCAGACCAGCTGCACCATGTGTGAGAACCTTCCTAATTCTTCTGTTTGGATGCATAACACCATAGCCCCACCCTAGCCAGAAAGTGTCTAAACAGTTATGACTTCTCCCACAGGGGATGCAGGAGAAAAGGGAGACAAAGGAGCCCCAGGACGGCCAGGAAGAGTTGGCCCCACAGGAGAAAAAGGTGAGTGTCACAGCTGAGCGGCCCCTCGAAGCCAGTTCTTTTTGTACTGGACACCCCTGCAGCGTGTGGGCAGGCCATGGGCACAGATCTACATGGTCTTCAGTTTCCTGCCTCTGGGGCTCAGCCTGACACTGGAAGCCCGAGAGCTCTCCTTCCATCAGTTGTTTGAAATAGATCTCGAGATGGAATATCTTTAAATAGCTTTGAAGTCCCTGGGTGATCCCAGCTGTGGCTGAGCTCTCTGTGTGTGTACTTCACTTTCCTCCCAAGTGAGTGACCTGTCCTTCCTGAGTCCAGGGAGGTCTGCAAGTAGAGATGCCCCAGTTCCCACGCTGGGCTGCAGTCTCTATAGAGTGTCAGTCTCCAGAAGGCCCCGAGGTTGGCTTGTGTTAACAGGCCTAGGTGCTGCAGCAGCAGGCTGTGTTTCCCAGGGCTCCCCACCCTGGGTCCGGACAGCTTGGCTTCCACCAGATGTAACCTGTGCCCACCTGCGGCTGCTCTGGAGGAGCATGCAGAGTAAGCAGCACCCTGCCAGGGAGAAAGGTGTGCCTGCTGGTGAATTGCCTTTACTGGAACAAAGCCAGGCAGGATGGAGCCAGCAGAGCTGCCTGCTGTCATCCGCTGTTTATTGAGGCTGGGTTGTGTGCCGTGTGGCAGGCACAGAGTGGCTATGTATGCTGATGTGACCCGGTATGTGTGTGTCTGTGTCATCCCAGATTTTTTCTGTCTGGTCCCCAGACTTAAGCTGTGACAAGAGCGGGTGGCTGCCTTGTGTCCTCCACAGAGGCGGGGGGGCCCTCCTGGCACAGACGGTGGCGGGCAGCTGCACCAGCACCAGTCTGTTGTGAGCTGTACCCTGCACGCACCATCCTTCATAAAAATCGCTGAGGAGGCTGAATTGCAAGTGCCCCCTTTGCCCCATCTCTACTTCAAAGGGCTCTGATATCTTCATTAAAATTAATACGAATCACGCACCTGCTGTGAGCTGCCCACCCGCTCCGCTCCTCCTGCGTGTCTGGAGAACAAATGGGAACCACCCCACTTCTCGTTAGAGTAATGGGCTGTAAGGACGGCAGGTCACAATGGCTCCCAGCATTTGGAGTTGCCTCAGTCAAGCTCTCCACTTAAAGGCACAGGCGCTAAATGTGTCTCGGCGCCACTGAGCATGTGTGCACACCGCATAAAGCCGGCTGTCCTGTGAAGCAGCTGGGAGACCTTCCTGGAAGTAGGAAGGAAATGCAAGCTTTTGTCAGAATCTCCTCCTGCAGGAGCTTTAACCTTGTAACGATGCTGCCAACTCTGCCCATGGAGCTAAAACAGGTCTGACCAAAAAGGGAGGATGAGCAGACAGTCTTGATGTCTCAGTGGTTTTCATCTTCTCTTTTTCCTCAGCACATTCAAACAATAGGATACTCCTAGCTGTAGCAGCCGCCAATCCTGTGTGCAGCTATTAAGGTAGAGATAGCAAGAGGTCTGTCCCCACCCCACCCCCACCCTGCCCGGGTGCTTTTCGTAAACTGGATTCCAAGCCAATTCTGTGCTAACTAACTTTACCACCCTGGGGTGTGTGAGGATCAACCATATAGCATGTATGCTCACATGCAAAGCATGTGTGTATTGTGTGCACATGTATATGCTTATATGCAGATATGCATGCACACACAAAACATGTATATATTACTATTTGTATGCTTATATATAAGTATGCACATATAAAGTGTCATGTGTTTTTGTTCCCACATATGTGCCCATGTGCATATGTGTGCAAATACTCTATGTGTATATGCTTGCATTCACATGGATATTTGTGTGTGTGTGGTACACATGTATCTTTGCATGCACATATATGCATGTGAATGAATTCATGTGTATGTATTCTATATAAATTGCACAAATAGTTGCAGGAGACGAAACAGAGGTTTAAAGATGATTACATCTTATCCAAGGTTGGTATATGTGAAGCTGGGTATGTGGCTCACATCTTTAATCCCAGTACTTGGGAGGCAGAGGCAGGCAAATCTTTGTTAATTAAGGCCAGCCTGGTCTGCACAGTGAATTCTTTTTTTTTTTTTCTGAGACAGGGTTTCTCTGTATCGTTTTGGAAGTCATCCTGGCACTTGCTCTGTAGATCAGGCTGGCCTTGAACCCGCAGAGATCCGCCTGCCTCTGCCTCACAAGTGCTGTGATTAAAGGCGTGCGCCACCAACATCCGGCTGCACAGTGAATTCTAAACCAGCCAGAACTCTTGTGAATGGAGACCTGGGATTTGGGTCTGGGTCTGAGTGTAGTTTATGCCTGGAATAACTGGACCTCTGTGTTCACTGTGTGGCCTATGGAAGTCACCTCCCTTCTGGGCCTTGCTTCTCTGAGGATGCAGAAGATGGCTGGGTCAGTCAGCTTGTGCTGCCATAGTTGGCCACCAAGTAGAACTTGATTTGTTTCTTTGAACGCTGGAGGTTGGAAGTCCAAGACACAGGTCGGGCAGGGATGCTTTCTCCAGGGCTTGCCCACACCTGCCCTTTTCCTGTGTCCTCACATGCACTATTCTCTGTGCATACCTGGTGTCTTCTCTCATAAGGCCACCAGTGCTGTTGGATAAGGGACTGACGTATGACCTATGACCTCAGTGAGCATCCACAACTCACTTGAGCACAGGCTTTTTAGATGGACTGTTCAGCTCATCAAAAGATGGAAATGGTGGGCTGGGGATGAGACTCAGTCAGTAAAGTGCTTGCCACACAAGCGCATAGACCTGAGTTCAATTCCCCAGAACCCGTGTGTGAAAATCAGGTACAGTGGCGCATGGGTGTAAGCGCAGCGCCGAGGAAGCAGAACCAGCCTAGCCAAATTGGCAGGTTCCAGGTCAGTGAGAGACCTTGTTTTAATAAACACATGGCCTTTGGCCTTCACACGCATGCATACACTAATGAACACACACACACACACACACACACACATGCCATGGCAATGAGAATGGTATGATGTTGAGTAGAGTCACACCAATGTACTGTCCTGGCACAGCACACGGGAAGTGTCTGTGTTGGTCCCTTAATGGTGGAGAAGGGAGCAGACCTAACCCTCTCTGCAGGCTCTCCCTTGCTCTTGTTGCCTTCAAGGATTAGGTGATTGAAAGAAGCAAGGACAAAGCCAGCCCTAGCTGGCTTTGGCGCCCGTCAATCACCCGGGGCTGTGCTAAAGTGCAGGGGCACACTCCCCAGCCCCTGGGGCTGTCCGTGTGGCTTGTCACATTTCCAGACTCCTGAGTCTTCCACCTGTGATGATGATCATTGTTGCTGGGGACACATGTGTCCCACCTGCTATGTGCCAGGTGCAGCTCTGGGTGGTGTGCCCGTCTCTCCAGCATCCAACTAGGGGCATACTGCCAACCCTGTTTCATAGGTGCAGACCCAGCACAGAGGCCACTGAGCCAAGCTCTGAGCCCGTTTTGCCGACAAGGATGCCAGGCTGCTCTGTTTGAGGTGGCACAGAGCCACTGAGCAAGTCCTTCGGGCAGTGGGGAGGAAGGGGAGAAGACAGCTTGATTATAGGTATTTTCTTTCAAAAGCCTTTACTACAGGATTTCAGCTTCTGCTTGTTACTTTAAAAATGTATTGTTTTCTGTGTATGAGTATTTTGCCTGCTTATATATTTATATTCAATGTTCCACATGTGTGCCTGGTTCCAGAAGAAGGCATCAGATTCCTTGGATTATAGATGATTGCATGCTGCCATGTGAATGCTGGGAACTGAACCCTGGCCCTCTAAAAGAATAGCTAGTGCTCTTAATCACTGAGCCATCTCTCCAGCCCCTTATAGTATATATATATATATATTTGAGACAAGCTCTCATTCTATCTCATTCTATAGCTATAGCTGGCTTGAAACTCACTATGTAGACTAGACTGGTCTTGAATTCACAGGGATTATAATATGAATCACCACACTCACCTTATATGTTCACTTTTTTGAGGCAGGGTCTCATGTAGTCCAGGCTGGCCCTAAAATTACTATATAGTCGAGGTTGACCTTACACTTCTGGTCTTCTTGCATGTATCTCCTGAGTGCTAGGATTACAAATCATGCCCAGTTGCAGCTGGGAACTTTGTGCACACTAGCAAGCAACTAAACTATACCCCAGGCTGCCCCAGGCTCAGATTCCAGGTCTACAGAGCTAAAAACAAAGGTCCAGAGAGGGTGGAGGTTTGAGTATGTATAGCCCCCAGACTCATGTGTTTGAATGCTTGGCACACAGAGAGTGGCACTGTTAGGAGGTGTGGCCTTATTGTGGGAAGTGTGTCAATGTGGAGGTGGGCTTTGAGGTCTCTTATGCTCAAGCGAGTCCTAGTACAGGAATGTTCACTTCTAGCCAGGCGGTGGTGGCGCACGCCCCAGCACTCAGGAGACAGAGGCAGGCAGATCTCTGTGAGTTCGAGGCCAGCCTGGTCTACAGAGTGGGTTCAAGGACAGGCTCCAAAGCAATACAGAGAAACCCTGTCTCAACCCCCCACCCCCCAAAAAAGAGTGTTCACTTCTGCTGCCTGTGGATCAAGATGTAGAACTCTCGGCTTCTCCAGCACCACATCTGCCTGCACACCACCATGCTTCCCGCCATGATGATAATGGACTAAACCTCTGAAACTGGAAGCCAGCCCCAATTAGATGTTTTCTTTATAAGAATTTCCATGGTCATGCTGTCTCTTCCCAGCAGCAGAAACCCTAACAAAGAAGGATCAATAAACTTACCTAGGGTTGCCGACTAACCCTGGTTACTCAGTTTGATAAGGGTAGAGAGGATGTGTAGAGTCAAGGCTGCTTCAGTCCTTGTGGGGTTACTTTTCCTGTCTCCCCAAATCTTGGCACATCTTAAACCAACGGCATCCATGTTCTGTGGGAACTTGATAGCACTGTCCAGCACTCAGGGACCCAAGAGGCCCCCTAAAGGCTGCAAGCTGCTGCCTCCCCAGGCCACCTGGCAGTGTTGTCTTTCTAGGGCTCAGATTCTGCCTCCCTTGTGTCCTTCCTCCCCTCTGCGCTGAGTTGCCTCTGTCTTCGCTGTGTCTTGTCTCCACACTTGCTCTTGGTTCCTGCGTACCCCGATGGCAGGGCTTGGCACCCATGCTTCTCCAAGGACAGGAGCTGAGCGTGGTGCCAGCTGGTACCAAGAGCCAAGTGTCAGCAACAGCTTTGAATTCCTGCCCCTGTTGTGCTGTGAGAGTTAGGGACGGGTTGGAGCCAAGTGTTCTCAAATCAGCCTCAGGTTGTGGCTGATTTATGACAGCGGGACACTTGCTGGACTCTCTTCTCACTGCACGCCCTCAGCAACGGCCTGAATTGGACAACGGAGTGCTAATTGATTGTTCTGTTGAGGTGAGAATTTTGCAGGAAAGGAAAATCGCCCTGAGGCATTTGCGATGCAAATGCTTTTCCTTCTGAGACTTTTGAGCCTCTTTATCCTGTCTGCCTGTCACCTTAGGGACCTGATCTTCCGCTGAGTGTGGCCAGAAGGCTGAGAAGGCCGAGCTGTGTTGTGACTTCTACCCTACCATAGCCTTGAATCACTTAGACAATTCTCAAAGGGAAGCAACCCCATCCATAGTCGACAGTAGACCTGGATCCCTTCCCATCTTTCCCTATACAGCATGCAACAGACTACACGTACACGCAGGAGCCTCAATCCCACCTGCCTTGTGGTAGGCAACCGATCTCCCAAGGTTGTAGGCATTTAGTGCGAGCTGGCCTTTCCGGGGTGAAATCTTTTCTTTTTATTTTCTAGGACCCAGCTACCCAGCCCTTATCCATATGGACATTGGAATGAACCATCTGTCCATTCTTTATCCAGGAGAGCAGTGCATTGGGGTGGAGTGTACCCATCTGTCAGATGGACAAGCTGAACCTTATGTCCCCCAAACATGTGGTGTGAACTTGGGTTGGGCAGGCATGCTCACTGGCTGGCATGGGAGTGGGGAACAGTGGGCTTGGACTCCTGTATGTGGGGAACTGCTGCGTTTCCACCTCGGCTGCGGGGCCTCAGCGGGTCATTTTGATGTGTCCTATTTGTGGCTTCCAGGGTGCATGCATGCAGCCAAAGACAGCTTCAATTACAGCTCAACACAAAATTACAAATGTACGTCAAATGTGAGATATTTTTGTGACTTCTTGAAAAACTCAGTTGTGTGGCCTAGCATGAACCATGCAGATGTCAGGGGAATGCTACAACCTCAAAAGATCGCAGAGGACTGCTAAGGTCTCTCCTTCCTTTCCCGTTCCTTAACTCATTGATCAAGACACCGCCTGCCCTGGTCTCTCAGCCCTTCTCCCTCTACACACCACCCTCACCACTCACTGCTTGTAGGGCTTCACCGAGCTGCTGCCCAGCCTGCCTCCCACCTTTCCTGGCTCCCTCTAATCCCACTAGATTCCTTCTTTACTGGTACCAAGACCCACTCTGTCCTCATCTTGCATCCTCTGCTTTTCTTCCTGTTTGCCTCTGGGATTTTGGAGCCCAGTGCCCTCCCTGGTTTTCCTGGTTTTAGAATAACCCACTCTGCACAAGGATATCCAGGTCAGAAGCCTTGACCTCACCTTACATCCCATCACTGAGCTGTTGGCAACTCCCAGACACCTGCCAGCTGGGAGGCTTCTTTTTGTTCTCCTGGATGCTGTCTGGCTAGCCACCAGCAGGCCTCTGTGTCTGCCTTGTCCTCTTCTCCTCAAGTGTGGCTGGGTTTCCTAAGCAGGAATCCCATCTCCCCCTTTCCTCTTCCTGACTCTCCAGGGGCTCCCACTCAGATGCCCTCCCCCACCAGCCTCCAGATGGGTCAAGGCCCCTTACCTGGGACAGTTCAGTGCCTCCTTTCTCTCCTAAAGTTGTACCTCCTCCCTGGGCTTCAATGACCAGATTGTCCCCTGTGTCCTCAGCTCACCCTCTGTACCCTCCTGGACCAGTGACTTGCTCTGTCCTGTCCTGTGCACACAGACTTCACCCATCTCTGTCTACCCCAATACCAGGGAAGCAGAAGCCTTCCTTATTGAGCGTGAGGAGATGATGAGAGACTCTCGTGGTCAGGGTGAACCGGTTGTGCCATGAATTGCTGTCTTCACTTCCACCGCTAGTTTCGCTTTCCAACAGATGTGTTCTGAGCATCTGGACCAAGGGGACACAAGGGTCATGTAACTCTCTGTGTGATCTCACTGAAGTCTCCTGTGCTCCTGTGTGGGTTAGCCATGGGGAGACTGAGCTTGGGTGGCCAGTGGCTGGCAATCAGAAGTAGGGGAGGAAATTGGCTGTGGTCCTCCCAGCTGTCTCCTGGGCTCTTACACTGGAGCGGGTTGATTAGGGCCTGGAGATGTCTTGGTTTCAAGTCAGCAGATCGTGGCTCTTGACCTACTTCTGCTGGATTTTTAGAGTTCAGCCTGGTCAAGCCACTTAATCCTACAACTACCCACGTGCCGCTGAGCAGTTTTGGAAACAGTGAAGGAGAACATGTGTGCACGAGTGTGCTTTGTAGTCAAGCACCTCGTTCTCATGCTCCTTCCAAGGACAGTGTGTTTTCTGACCAGCAGTGCTCTGCCCTTTGAACTCCATCTGCTCTGTACGGAGGGAACATTCCATCGGCTCCAGCACTGGGGGACCCTTGGGAAGTGCTGCCCCGTGAGGTGCTCCATCAGCACACAGCGGAGTCCTCCCTCTTGCCTGTCTTGAGAGCTATCTACGTTGAGTTTCTATTCGTCTCTGTAACCCTAGGGGCAATGGAAGATCAAAAGTTCATGTCATCTTGGCCACATGCGAGCCTGTCCATGATGAAGTTGGTGCACAGGGCTTCTCTGTATGCTCGCTTGCTAGTCGTGCCTTGGTGTCTCATCGGTGGGGAATCCCAAAAAGATTCCCAGGAGCATCTCTGAGGGAATGAAGACACTCAAGGAAGGACATGGCATTGAGAAATGTCTTCTGCCTTGACTTGTTACGGATCTGGGAGAGGACAGTTTTATTCCAGTGATTGGTGTTCTCCGAGGAAAGGAAGGCCATTCACTGATCCTTCCTGCAATGGATGGGAGACTGGATTATGCAAATACTTGCCGATAGGAACCACACAGCAGGCACTGTGCTACAGACCTGCCATAAGGCATGCAGAGAACATTCTGGTCTCTTCTCCCTGTGCCCTCTGTCTCCTGCAGAGCCACCTTCAAATGCAGCCGGAGGGGGTGCCCAGGGCTTTGCTGTTCCCGAGAGCATCTAGCTGTGTCTGCATTCCAGAGTGATGCTCTTGGTTGGGTGACAGGACAAGTTTGGGAGGCACTGTTAAGCCAGGCCACAGCTCAGGGATCGCCCTTCCTGACCCAGGCTCAGAGGAGAGCTGGCCTTGGCTGAGTGACTTGGGAGTGCTGGCCTGTCCTCCTCCCTTCTGCCCTCTGTGTGACTCATAGCCTCCGCTAGAAACAAAACCAATGGGCTGCCTGTGAGGAAACATTCTGTGACAGTCATGTATGTGCCCTGGAAGAGCTGTTCTTTATGCGTTCTCTTCCTGTGTACGTACATGTGTGTTATGGTGAGGAGGGGTGTGTCAGGTCACCTGTGCATCAATCAATTTTGGCCTTATTGTTTTCTACAGGAGACATGGGGGACAAAGGACAGAAAGGCACCGTGGGCCGCCATGGAAAAATTGGTCCCATTGGCGCTAAAGGTATTTGTGACACGCCTCTTGCCCTATATTCCCCAATAGGCTCAGAACAGCGGCTGCCTGTGCCACTTTGCCTGGAGCTCTTATTTTCATGTGTCACTCTGACAAATTCTGTATTGCAGTATTCTCACTACAGGAATACCAAAGGGATTTCTAGCTCTGTGAGCAGCAGGGTGGGTGGGGTCACACCAGCCTGTAGCACTTTTTTTTTGTTTGTGTTTTGTTTTGTTTTTTCGAGACAAGGTTTCTCTGTATTGTTTTGGAGGCTGATCTGGAACTCGATCTATAGACCAGGCTGGCCTCGAACTCACAGAGATCCACCTGCCTCTGCCTCCCGAGGGCTGGGATTAAAGGCGTGAGCCACCAACGCCCGGCCCAGCCTGTAGCACTTAAAGAGCATTTAACGTCCTGGATGAAGGATCCAGGTCGTGTGCTGAGCCAGAGCCTGAACCTTCAGCACGCCTTCCTTATTGAGCGTGAGGAGATGATGAGAGACTCTCGTGGTCAGGGTGAACCAGTTGTGCCATGAATGGCTGTCTTCACTTCCACCGCTAGTTTCGCTTTCCAACAGATGTGTTCTGAGCATCTGGACCAAGGGGACACAAGGGTCATGTAGCTCTCTGTGTGATCTCACTGAAGTCTCCTGTGCTCCTGTGTGGGTTAGCCATGGGGAGACTGAGCTTGGGTGGCCAGTGGCTGGCAATCAGAAGTAAGGGAGGAAATTGGCTGTGGTCCTCCCAGCTGTCGCCTGGGCTCTTACACCGGAGCAGGTTGATTAGGCCTGGAGATGTCTGGGTTTGAAGTCTGAGCTGTGTTTGGCTTGGGAGGTTTGCTGTGGCCCGTGCTGTGATTGCAGAGAGAGACCATGGAGTGTTGGGGAGGTGTGCACTCTGCTTGCTTGTCTCTTCCCTGGGAAGAACCTGCTGTCTACAGCATCCTGATGAGCAGGAGTGCTGAGGGACATTCAGGCTACAACACCTTCCCAGAACCTCGAGGAAGCATCGATCTCATAAGGAGCTGCCATTCCAACCGTTCCAGCTGCACAGTTCAGCGGCGAAACACATTCACAATGTGATGCAACCATGCCCACTGTTCCCCAAAGCTTTTTATCACCCCACAGAGACGCTGCACCATTAAACATTAACTCCATCCCCTTCCCAGCCCCGGACAACCCAGAGTCTGCTTTTTCCTTCTGTGAATTTGCCCATCCTACATACAATACAACAGGATTCGCCCTTTCTGGTGGTCTTGTTTCCCTTAGTTAGTACAGTGTTCTCAGAATTCAAGTAGCAGGTGTCAAAATCTCCTTATTTTAAGGCTGAATGACACCTATTGTACAGATAAACCATGTTTTGTTTATCTAAGTATTGTGAGAATTCCTTCCCCGAAGGGACATAAACGATGTCTACCCCTTCCTCCTAAGGTCCTAAGAGCAAACCAAAGTACTATTTCACCAAACTTTAACCTAGAAAACAAATGGATTGCCGGGCGTTGGTGGCGCACGCATTTAATCCCAGCACTGGGGAGGCAGAGGCAGGCGGATCTCTGTGAGTTTGAGGCCAGCCTGGTCTACAGAGCTAGTTCCAGGACAGCCTCCAAAACAATACAGAGAGACCCTGTCTCGAAAAACCAAAAAAAAAAAAAAAAAAAAAGAAAGAAAAAAAAGAAAACAAATGGATTTATTGGGTTTACTTCCAGAGCATGGGTGAGGGGGCCCCAAAGCAGTGACATTAGAAAGTCGCATTGATGGAATCTCCCCTTCTATGGCAAGTTAACCTTCCCTAGCATACATGCTCTGGTACCTCTGAGACTCCAAGGTCAAAGGAAATCAGGGCAGAATCACATGTAAATGGCTGGAATCTCAGGTGAGGGTTCAGTGACCTCCTGCATTCCCCCATTCTCTGAGTGATGAGACATCAACAGCCAACACTCAGTGCAGAATCGAGTAAATGGTTGGCAGGAGTGGCTGGAAGTCAGGTAAGGGTCCAGTGATCCCTCCTCCATTCCCCCATTCTCTGAGGGATGGGACATCAACAGCCAACAGTCACGATCTGATGGCATCCTGCCTGGTAGGCACAACTATCAGGGTGAAGACTGTGGATGATCTGCCCAGAGGACAGAGTCCTACGTTGCAGTCTCCCAGTCTGTGGACATCCTGTCCATCTGTCCCCATTGGCTGCTGTGGCCAATGCTGTAAGGAGCGAGGGGAAGACAGAAGGAGTGCATATTCCTTTCTACAGGGCACGTGTACTGGGCAGATCTCCAAGTCTCACGTGCAGACCAGGGCCGCCCTTGTCTGGCTTTGATTACTCGATTGGCTTTGTCTCCAGGGCTGTCCTCTTGGGTTCTGGCCAGGCTGAGATTCTGAAGGTCTCCAAGCACCTGACAGAACATAGGAATAATCTAGGCAAGGGCTACTTAAATGCTTCTTCCCTCCTTATGGGAGCAGACTGAGAATCTGCAGACACAGAGCTCACAGCCCTTCACGGAGATGATTCCATCCTCTGAGCAAGAGGGAGGATGCATTAGGGATTTCAAAATGACTGCTGTACACACATGCATGTGCACACATATGCATGTACATGCACACACAAAACAGACACACATACATGCACACGTACACATACACAAGCACACCATAACTTGATCTCATAGAAGCCAGGCAACTATGTTGCTGTCATTGTGTTCTATACTCTGTGTGTGTATGTGTGTGTGTGTGTGTGTGTGTGTGTGTGTGTGTGTGTGTGTGTGTGTTGAGGATATTGAAGACAAGGGGTTAGGGACTTGCCCTGCCTGCCAGGAGGCTGGGCAGGGTCCTAGTGTCTGGACCCCTCTGTCTGGGCCCCTCTGGAGTGGATCCAAAGGAACTTTGATTACAGCTGGAGATTATTAGTGCTGTTTACACTTCCTGGGCCAGGCTTTCCCTAAACTCACCCCACCTCCCATCTTATGTTCATCTGGATTTTCCTGTTGAGCTGGCCTACTGTCATCTGCTCTTGGTGTTAAGTAGTCTATACAATGTCACCTGTTAAACATTCCCTGAGGGGCACTGCACTCCCCAGAGGTGACTTCAAGTATGCCACTGGATGCTCCCCCAAAGCCCACAGTCTGTAATTGTCCATGTTTATAAACAGCCTGAGGAGCTGCCCACAGAACATGGTGATGGGGAGTGATGGAATATCAACCCAGACCCTGTGTCTGTACAGCTCTACCCCTGAGCTACATGCTCAGCTTCAATAAATAAGACTTTAAACTTGACACGTTTTAGTTCAAGGGACAGTTCCCCTTTGGAAGGTAACTTTCATTTTTCTTTTTATCACCTAGGTGAAAAAGGCGACTCTGGTGACATTGGACCCCCTGGTCCCAGTGGAGAGCCTGGTATGACAAATCATAAACCATGGGGCTGGAGTAATGATCCCAAGGTTTATACTACTGGCTGCTCTTCCAGAAGACCTGGATTCAGTTCCTAGCAACCACACGACAGCTCACAAATTTTAACCTCAGTTCTAAGGCATCAGATGCCCTTTTCTGTCCTCTGGGGTCACTGTAGACACACATGGTACACAAACATCCATGTAGGCAAAACACCACATACATAAAATCAAACAATTATAAGTAATAATAATAAATTAAAAAAAGTAAAAGAAAAAGGCTACATGTGACTGCATGAAGCCCTGGGGACACCTATAACCCCCTCAGTCATCAGGTAAAGGCAGGGAGGCCGGAAGTTCATTGTCACCCTTGGCTCCACAGCTGTGCTACATGGGACACAATCTCAAAACAAAGGACACAACATAGTTAATGAGGGTAAGGTGCCCATGCTACCATTGTGTACAAGCCTAGCGAAACTCATTGGGACACACAGATGTGCGTGCACACACACACACACACACACACACACACACAGTGTTGGAAGGAGGAAGGGGACTAGAGATATTAACTAGATGCAAATGATCAAAATACATTGCGTACATGTATGAAAATGTCACAGCGAAGCCCACCACTGTGCGTCGTTAACACACACGGACGGAAACATGTGAGAATCACAAACTGAATCTGCCTTGGGCAGATTCTTGTCAGGCTGGCCCTGCTGTGACGTAGCCCAGTCTCTGTTTTCTCTACTGTTTTAACCTTCTCAGGGTTATGGTCCTGTCTGCAAGGCATCACCCTGTCTGTGTAGCAGGCTCAGCTATACCTTCCCTAGAGGTCAGGATGCTCATTTCCTGATCCCTTTCTCTGTGGCATATGCATCTGGTGTGTGCATGTGTGCATGTGTGTGTGCGTGCATGCGTGTGTGTGTGTGTGTGTGTGTGTTGTGTGTACCCTTCTTTTCCAAAACCAGATGCTGCTCCTTACAGGCATTCCATGTGAGTGCAGCCAGCTGCGGAAAGCTATTGGCGAGATGGACAATCTGGTCACTCAGCTGACCACTGAGCTGAAATTCATAAAAAACGGTACGTTGGGCTGAGGCCTTCCCCTTCCCTGCCCCTCCCTCCCCCCTTCTCCCCTGCGGGTGGACAGCAGTGGCTTCCGCTTGCTGCTCAGCGTCCACCGCCTCCGCGCCTGTGGCCGTGGTGTGGTGGAGTGCGTTGAGTTTGTTTATAGAAATGCGAGTGCTGGCCTTTCAGCTCTGCGCCTTTCAGCTCTGCCCTCCCCTGCAGCGGTTGCTGGCGTGCGTGAGACTGAGAGCAAGATCTACCTGCTGGTGAAGGAGGAGAAGCGGTATGCCGACGCCCAGCTGTCCTGCCAAGGCCGGGGAGGCACGCTGAGCATGCCCAAGGACGAGGCGGCCAACGGCCTGATGGCATCCTACCTGGCACAGGCCGGCCTGGCCCGCGTCTTCATAGGCATCAACGACCTGGAGAAAGAAGGGGCCTTCGTGTACTCTGACCGCTCCCCCATGCAGACTTTTAATAAATGGCGTAGCGGAGAGCCCAACAACGCCTATGACGAGGAGGACTGTGTAGAGATGGTGGCCTCAGGGGGCTGGAACGATGTGGCCTGCCACATTACCATGTACTTCATGTGTGAGTTTGACAAGGAAAACTTGTGAGTTCACGGCGGGCTGTAGCTCAGGGGAGACCACGCCATCTGAACCCTGTCCTTCATAAGCAAACACTCAGCCTTCCAGACACCAGTGGCCACAAGCTACCCCTGAGCCTCAGTCACCGCATCTGCCATAAGGAAGTTCAGAGCCTCATTGACAGAAGGGCTGTTTGAACCGTAGGAGGGGCGAACCCTTGGTTCCCAGTGCTGGTCTGCGTAGGTGAAGTTTTACCACCGTGTCCGAGCCGAGACGCCCATTATAGAGTTACCACTCGGAGGGATGCAGTGACACCCTTGTCTTGGTCCAGCCACAAAACACTGCAAATGTCGAAGCAGTCATGTGCAAACGGTGGCCGTGGCGGGCAGGGGTTGCCACCCATCCTTTAAGCTACAGAGAAAGCACCACTCGGTGGGGACCGATGTTTCTATAAGTTACTCTAACACTTAGGTTCCTTTTCACTGTCACCCATATAGGAACACAGCTGCTCTGCTTCAAACCCATACTTCGGGGACACAAATAAATCCTCTGGATTTTGCTATGGAATGTGTGTGGCACTTTCTGTTTTAGTTTCTTCAGTAGCTGTGTCATCTAACCCTGTGGATTAAGCAAGTCACCCTGAAACATGGTGACCTAGAATATTTATTAGCATGAGGTGTCTCAAGGCCAGGGGTTCACACGAGGCTCAGCAAGTCGGTCACCGGGAGAACCAGGGTCACTGGCCAATGATTTGGTGGGCTCCACGCCTCCGAGGCTGTATGGAACGGAGAGCCTTGGCTTCTCACTGGCTGGTGGGAAGCAGAGGTCACCACAGTCCTTGCTAACCGAAGATCCCCCGAAGGCACAGCTCAATGTGGCAGTCTTGGCAGTCCATGCATCCCAGCAGTGAGGGGAGGGGCCAGAGGACACCCAGGAGACCAAAGCCATAGGCTTCCTAGCCTGGCCTTAGGGCCACAGCCCTCCGTGTTGGCTGTGTGCTGCTCATTAGGTCTGTTGCCAGCTTTGGTCTACACATGGGACACTAGGGACTGGAGCTGGGGGAGCGGGGGAGCTTGCAGTAACAACCATCTCTTTCCCCGTTTTTCTAAGTGGGAATCTTTAGTAAAACAGAACTAACCCTCTACTTCCCAAAGAAAATACATCATCACATGCAACCCTACTTGGGACCAGGAAAAGAGTGAGGTATGGTGGCGGCACCCTGGAGCGCTTGGTCTTTTCTGTGTGTCTTTCTAGGGAGGTCCTGGATGCCCTATGCTCTGGGTCACTTTCTTTTATTGGTGTGTATAGGTAGCTGGGGGGAGCTTCCTGGACACCAAACCCAGAGCCTCACACAGGCTCTTCTCCAGACTTATCCTGCTCCACTGAAGGGTGTTTGCACAGTGAGCTCACCTGGAAGATGCAATCCCTGCCTCCCACGTATCCCACCCTGGCTTCAGCGTCAGAAGAATGGTGTGATGCGGGCAGTTGGTGTACAGTGTCCCAAAGGAGGTGTCTCCCTCGGGAGGCGAGGGCAGGTGTATTGTTTCTTGCGACAGTGCCTCCGGGTCCCCAGAGTCAACCCTCCAGTCTCCAGGAGTCTCGTGGCTCCTGTCCGCACCCATGAACCTGGGCTGACTGACACGGTGGCACCTCAGACTCTCACAGTTCCTGACCCGTAAGTTTTTTTTTTTTTTAAACTTCCTTGGATGCTTATTCAGACACCGCAATGTCACCCGGCACCGTCCTCTGAGCGGAATGAACTACATCTCCATCCATAAATGTAGCGTCTAGTTGCCAAGCGCAATCACGGCTAGGCTGGTCGAATTCTGACATAGCAAGAGGGGAAGCGGAGGGTCATCGGCCTGAGCATCCCGCGATCTTGTCTGGCGGGTTGTACGCAGTTCTGTCCTAACTGCAGGTGGCCTTAGGGTCTCGGAGGAGCTAGATTATGCGGGCTGGGGAACGACTAGGAGAAGGGGGCTCCGTCATCCATGCTGGGTGCACATCTTCCAGTATGGCTGTTTGAGGGTCTCCTACACTCCTGCACAAGGGGTGTATCCACATCGGGCACGTGAGCCATGCTGGCATCTCCCTGCTCCTCAGTAGCATCTCCTACCCATGATATGTGTTGTTCACCTATCCTGGGTGAGCCTGGGCGTCCTTCAGAGAGAAAGCGTTGCCACACAAGTGGGTGGAGAGTCACCAGGGAAATCTGCTAGCCTAGTCCTCAGTGTCCTGTGGACTGCCCGGGGAATCTTCCTCACCCTACACAGCGGGGTCTATGAGGCCCTCACTTTCCTCCCACCCGTCCCTGCTCCAACATGCCCCTCCGCCCCCCCCCCCCCCCCCGCGCCCAGATCAACTTGTGCAGGCATCTGCGTGTGCCCACAGCAACCAGGCCAGACACCTCCCAAGCCAGGATGTGCCTTTTACACATGGTGAGACCCTGAGTCACCTAAACTCGTTGGGCATAAGGGTCCTCATTCAAGGGCCCCGTGAGGATTCCGTGGGACAGAGCAGGTGGAGTACCCAACGTGACTGAGCGCTGAGCACTTAACACCAAGGACACCGGGAGCACGCATTGAGAGGCAGTGGTGATGATAACTTAGTGCAGTCTTGCCTAGCCATGGGAACTCAGCATTGTCTGGGACAGCGGTTCTCAACCTATGGGCTGTAGTCACATATCAGATATCCTGCATATCAGGTATTTACACGACGATTCATAACAGTGGCAGAATCACAGTTTTGAAGTGGTAACTAAATAATTTTACGGTTGGGGGTCACCACAACACGAGGGATTGTTTTGGGGAGGGCCGGATCTCTGCCCTGCAAACCGTTCCCCACCTCATGGGAGGCTGGAAGAGCCTTGTGGTTTCCTCTGTTAAACTCCATTTAGGCAAATCTGTGTTAATATAAAACATGGCGACAGCATTCTAGCCATCATTTGTACCTGGTTACGGACATTGACATCACGGTGACGGTTGGGATGCAAGCAGATCAGATCGGGTACACACACTTGGGCGCTGAGCTAGACCTCTGTCCTGAATTTCCTTCGGGAGGCTTCGGAGAGAACCTTGGTCCAGACCCCGGGGGTGGCTGGGGGCAGGGCTGGCTGCGCAGCAGGCATGGCTGCGGCGGCTCAGGCAGGAGCTGAGATTCATTAGGTGCCGCAGTGAGGCGTGACCGAAAAGCTAGCGTGGGTGTCCTCTTTAGAGCCCTCTGTGGAGCACGGGCTGAGATGGATGAGCGGAGAGACAGCCTGGGGCCGTGGGTCAGCGGTGTCAAATCCACGGTGCCACACTGCCACCTAGTGGTAAAGGTGGAGGCAGCCAGAGTGAGGCTCGCTCGCTCTCTCTCTCTCTCTCTCTCTCTCTCTCTCTCTCTCTCCTCCCTCCCTCCCTCCCTCCCTCCCTCCCTCCCTCCCTCCCTCCCTCCCTCCGTATGTATGCAAGAGAGAGGGAGAATGACTGGGGGGGGATTAGTAAGAGACACAGGGAGAGAGAGGCAGCGGAACAAAGCGTGGCAGGGCGGCAGGGGAGGGGGAGAACTCCAGCACAGGAGGGGAGGCCAAGGCCATGGCGCCCTTCTTCAGAAAGCAGCTCCAGCCATACCCCCTGTGGTTTCCCACCTGCGAGGGGCCATCCTAGTGTTTGCACAAGCCCAGAGTCCATTTAGGCGGGGCCAGCGCAAGGTTAGCTAGGAAAGCATGGGTTATGGCTGGAGGGCTGTGGCATGTCTAGATTCCAGTGGAAGTTTGCACCCAGGCTGGAATCTTGGGAGAGACGGGTGTTACAATCAAGGGCCAGGAGAACCTTACGTGGATTCCATGGCAGGCGAGGGTGACTGAGGCGAAGGCGGGGTACAAACACGCCGGGCAGACAGAGCTCAGTGAGAAGTTTTATTACAAAGGGGAGGGGGGAAGGAAAGAGAAACGAGCTAAAGAGATACAGAGACAGAGAGAGGACAGAAGAGAAGAGGGAGACAGGAAAAGGGCTGTCCGCCCTAGGGGAACAGTGGGAAAGAGAGAGGGAAACACAGCGTAAGTGGGCGGAGTTTTTTGTTTTTTGTTTTTTTAAAGGGCTCCTTTGCACCTGGGCTGACCAGGGTACCGCCTGAGTGCATTCTGCCAGGTGACAGGGGCGGCCCAGCATAACGCCTGAATTCTTACAACGGGTTCAGGGTGTTTCTGCTGTATCATGCTCAGCTACATCGGTCATGTCCATGGGCAACCATTCACCTGGCTGTTCCAACCTCTCCAGGGCTGGAGCAAAACTCTCCTCTCTGCCTAGGTGTCACACAGTGACTGATGGCTGTTGGCTGAGAAGCTTGTCCCCTCCCGAGAAGCATCTCCATCCCTCCATTGTGTCCTCGCAGGGGGAAGTGGCTGCAGGAAGCAGAGTTGTGCATTCTCCTAGTTTGCTTCTCTGTAGCTGTGAGAGCAACACGACCAAAACCAACTTGAGAAAGAAGGGATTTATTTGGTTTACACATCACAGTCAGTCCACCGTGAAGGGAAGTCAGAGCTCAGGCTGGAACCCGGGGGCAGGGACAGAAGCAGAGGCCATGGAGGGGGCTGCAGGGACGGAAGCAGAGGCCATGGAGGGGGCTGCAGGGACGGAAGCAGAGGCCGTGGAGGGGGCTGCTTTCTGGCTTGCTCCCCCTGTCGCTTGTTCAGCCTGCTTTCTTATAGAACCCAAGACCAGGTGTGGCACCATTCACAGTGTGCTGGCCCCTTCCACACCAATCAGTAATTAAGAAGATGTCCCACAGACTTGCCTACAAGCCAATTCCTCAACTGAGGTCTCAGATAACTCCAGCTTGGGTCAAGTTGAAAACAAAGAAAACAAACAGGTCATCAGGTTCAACCCCACCTAACTCACTTCAACAGACCCAATCAAAGGCTGGAGCTTCTTAAGCTTAAGTAGAAAAACCAGTTTGGTAAATCAGCACAGGAAGGAATTTTGTTGTTGGGAAGCCAGAGGAACAACTAGGGGGACCAGTTGTGGAGGGAGCAAAACCCACAAATCACATTGCAGATGGGTTGTGCGAGTCCCTCTGCTCCTGGGGCTGTGGATGCTACTGCCAGGCTGCTGAGGCTGTTGCCATGGAACCTGGCTGACCGATGTGCCTGTACATCATTGCCTTCCCACACAGAGCCTGCAGGCAAATCTGTCTGGCTGGGTACCTGGGGTCAGGGCCACGTCTGATGTCTACACAGGTTGTGCTTCGCACAAATCCAAGTATTGACAGCTTGCATGCGTCTGTGCTCTGGAAACAATGGGCCCTGGGAAAGCAGACTTTAGCTGGTTTCTGCTTCAGAAGGAAAAGTGCCGAGTGGATGGTGATATCTGCACACTCAATAACTGTACAGATCTCCTCTCTCTCTCTCTCTCTCTCTCTCTCTCTCTCTCTCTCTCTCTCTCTCTCTCTCTGTGTGTGTGTGTGTGTGTGAGAGAGAGAGAGAGAGGAAGGGAGGGAGGGAGGGAGAGAGGTCATTCCTTAGGTACTGTCCACCTTGGTTATTTATTTATTTGAGGCAGGGTCTCTCATTTGCCTGGAGTAGGCTA